AAATGAGACATTGCCATATTGGAAGATTTGTTTATCACATATCTCAGAGCCTTGACAGAATTTATGTGAATCATAATATCAGATGTGAAAATAAACTTCTCTTGGCAGTATTCTGCATGGCAGATTTGCCAAAAATAGAAGATTAAGATATCAAGATGTATGGTTAGAATTCTTAAATGTGAATGTTAGACATGATTTTATTCACGATTCAGTTACAATAAATTGTAATTATCAAATGGTTATAACAAGGCTGGTTGATAAGTTATGAGCCACATATCAAAGGGTTTGAATTTTGGAGGACACATTGCATTATTTTTCAACATAATCTCCTTCAGTATCTATACACTATTGCCAGTGATGTTTAAGGACCTCAATGCCACTTTTAAAGAAGTCCTTTTCATGACCATTCAGAAAGTCCTCCACTGCATGTATGATGTTACCATATGACTAAAAGTGGGTTCTTGAAATGGCCTTTTCCAATTTTGGAAATAGACCAAAATACTGAAGGAGCGAGATCAGGCAAATAAGGCAGATGCTCAATCAATTCAAAGCCACAATCATTAATGGCAGCCATGGCAATAACAGACTTGTGAACAGGGACGTTGTTCTGGTGGAACAACACACCTTAACAGAGTTTTTTGTGGTACTTGAGCTTAGTATTTTCTCTTAACAACCTAAGAAGTGATGCATAAAATGAGCCATGGATTGTTTGTCACTTTTGCAGATAATCTACCATCAGAATACCATCAGCATCCCAGAAAGCCAAGGCCATCATGTTTCCAGCTGATGGAACAGTCTTTGCCTTCTGTGTTAGAGATAAACCAGGGTGCTTCCATTATTTAGAATGTTGTTTTGCCTCAGAGGTGAAATGATGGACCAACTTTTCATCCATAGTCACAAACCACTGCAGAAAGCTCGCAGGATCTGCCTCTAAATGGTTCAGAAAGGCACGCGACAAAGTTCGCTTGGTGTGCTTCTGATCAACTGTCAGAAGTCTTGGTACCTAACAGGCTGGGAGCTTTCTTATTGCAAGATATTTCATAAGAATGGAATGTACTCTTTCTTGTAAAATCCAAACTGTACTGGCTATGTATCTCTGTATAACTTGCATGTCAGCCATAACAGTATCATGAACTTTATTGTTCATTTCTGGGGTTGTAACAGTGACAGGCCATCCTTGTTGGGCATCAACCCCAAGGCACTGACTGCTACTCTCAAATTCCGCAATCCACATTTTCACTGTAGCATATGAAGGGGCATCATTTCCTAGTGTTGCTACCATATCAGTATGGATATCCTTAGGTACTAGACCTTTCTTATGCAAATATTGAATCACTGCTCTTTCAGCGATTTTGTCCGTTTTTCAAAATCACTTGCCTTGTTTACTTTAGAGTGCTATCCCCTCAACATAAACTGACCAAATGACACCAGTCTTCGAGTAAGCAGCCTTAAACAGTCAGGGAATAGTAGAGCTGAAAACAGATATCCCTGCCTAATTTCTTCAATACAAGGCTCACTACTTGTCAGTCAGCCCTCGAAATATGACCTGCTATTACAGGTAGTCATGACCAGTTAGTTATGATCCTAGATTGAATCAGGTTACATCTAACTGGTACCATATAGTTTAGGAAATTGGAATTATCTGGAAGAGGTCAGAATGGTTTTAGGTTTAGGAAAGGATTTACTGGACAACAGAAATATCCATTGTCTAAAAACTCCTACTGAACTGATATGTCCTATACATATATATGTACTATTCAATTAGCCTTTATATGGAAAGCTGGTACTTAAAGCATTCGTAACATGGTTGTCTGTAGGCATCGAGCAGCTGTAGAGCATTCAGCATCTCAAATTATTAGGGTCTATTTCAGAAGCACTTAAAATTAAACATTTCACATTCTGTATAACACATTATTCTTTTTGCATTAAGCATTTTTGCATAAAGCATTTAGTGTAACACATTTCAGCACAAAACATGGAGCATAACACATTTTGCATTAAGCATTTATCATATTCAATTACAGAGACTGTCCCAAACAAAATAAATAAATGGCAACAAGGCTCAACACTTATATATGACAACACAGCCAACTAAACACTTATATCCCTCAAAAAGACATTGTGTAATATTTTCCAATGACTTAAGTTGGTCATTTTGAAATTTTTAAATAAATCAGAATTAAAGATAAAGTATTTAGCATTAAAAATTTGGCACAAAGTAATTTGTGTAAAGCTAGCAAATAGCTTGTCATACCAGCTTTCCATATCTTCACTAGGATAACGATGATATCTACAGAACGATATGCATTTTGTTACGTTCTATAGCTATATTTTGTGATCCTGGCATCAGGTGAAGTAATTTATTGTTAAAAATGTCAGTTTAGGTCAGTGGGAAAAAGAGAATGCAGAAGTGAGAACGGGCCCAGAAAGATAAAGATTAAATATCCTTTATTTCTATGATTACATGGTTCAGAGCTTTTAATCCCAAACTCTAGAAATTTCAGGTGTTTTGGTAATTAAATAGAAAATTCAAAATTATACATGAATTGCAAATTGCCGTATCTCAGATACCCTCAAGAAGATGGAGGCGGGTGGGTTGGCTTGAAGAGGGGTTAGAATTGGAGATGGGGATTTCTTTCTGCAGAGGAACCCAGAGGAAATTACTAAATAATTGACATTTAATAAGACTTTGAAAAGATTCTTAAATACACAACAATCGATTCAATGTGGCATTAACTGTGATCACCTTTTGGAGTCTTATATAAAAACATGGCTTAATGTTTGAGTATACTACAGGATAATACAGAAATCATTATCAACAAACTCAATTATGTAGACATCCATCACATAATTACATATACAGATATAGATTTCATGTCACTTTTATCACGCAGAATTTGACACTAGCTACTATGTAAAGTGCTCCTGTGATAGCGAGCCATAATCGTTTTGGTCTCTACGTCTGTTGGAATGGTGGTGTCTGACAATGCACTGTAATGTATTTGTGGAAGTTTAAACTGAATCTCATTGAAACTTTATGTAAATTATGCTAACTGTACTTAAATGCTGGGGATTGACCTTTTGAAGTTGAGTGTAGCACAGAATGTGGTAACAAATTTCAATTCTATGTCACTTGAGCCAATACTGAGGATTTATAACTAATACTGTTACTCACCCACTGAAGTCATTGGTCCCAAAAAGTGTAAACAAGTTGGGTAAATACTTCTAATGGTAAATTGCATGTGAATTACTAAAAAGGTAAGCACTTTGTTGATCTTGAAGGAATGATATGGACAATACAACTTAATATAGTTTGTTGATAAACATTTGTTAAGTGAAGCATTCATTGATGCATTTTAAACCTAAGTTTCCTCAAAGATGTATATGTTAATATGAAAGTTTTCTTTTTTTATGTTGGCAGTGATAGATGTATAGGAAAAGTAATGTTAAAGGACTGAATAGGAAAATTATCAGATTGTGACATAAGTAATGTACATCATCACTTCTCAGCATGACATTGTGTGGAAATGTTTGGCAAAAGTGGATACCTTGATCATAAGTTCTAAATTTACTGTCACAGTAGCTTTTGTTTTGTCTTCTAATAGCTTTGAAAAATTCATCCTCATCTGAGCAAGTTCATATTCAACAGGCTTGATATGGTATTATGGTTGTGGTTACCAATTTGTACTGTTTAATGGAAACATTTGATAAAATCTTATACCATGTAAAATCTTATACCATGTAAAATCTTAAAGAAAGTGCATTTTTCATGTTCATGCAAGTTAAATTTTAGAGTGTTTTCATCATTGAAGGTTTAAAATTCAGATACAGTTTTAAAAAAAACAACATAATCCACCTTCTTTTTATACACACTTACAATGTACAGTGTTAATAGTATATATATACAATGAAGTGATATGGCCTTTGAGTGCATTGTAGGCAAACATTACATAATGGTAGCACACACATTTTTAGAAAAAAAACTTCTTCTAAAAAAGCTATAGGACTGAGAGTCATAATATTTGGCTTACATGAGGGATCTAAGGAATGGATGGAGTGTGGTACGTAAATTCACCTTTGACGTACTGTTAAAGTTAATGTCACCAATTAAAGCACTTTCCTTGAAGGACTGGTATGTGAACTAGAACACATATAAACAGTTAAATGACCTAATTAATTTATCTTTCGCCACTTTATTGATGGTGTTGTTTTAAAAACACATGCAGGTCAGGGAAATGCTTTGAAAAAGATTTAGATATATATAACTCTTTTGATTCTACAAGAATCCAGAAGTAAATTCAACCTGCTGTAGTATGTACATTTATTCAGGGTAATGAAGACATGAACTTTGGAGAACCATTGATTTTCTTTATCACACCTATATATATACCCATTGTAAAGGCTATGGGGACCTGCTTTGTCCTCATGTTAAAGTTCAGTTGTTGGCATTTGATAAGTTTTATACCTTATCCACTGTTATCTCTTCTTATTGGAAATGAAAGACGAAAATGGAAGTGGCTTTTACCACTATCTTCAATACAACAATAGGATTTTAATAAGCATCCCTATAACAACAAGGACATTACATATATATTTGTACTGAAGCCTGATCTTTTACTTGGCTGAATAGAGCATGAATGTATCTGTTACATATACTTTACACAGAAATGAGACATTTTATATGTGAGATATATACCTAATTTTGTAGTATGATCGCTGTGTTTCACATATAGATGGTCTGATTCTTATGGTAGGTGTTCCTTGATATTTTAATTCCTCTTCTGGATATATTGATGTGTGCTTTACTGTCTTACTCAGTACATGTTACACAATACTAGTTCATGCTTCAGCTTGTAGCAGGGCAGATATAGAATGAATTGAGTGTCAGGTGCTTGTGATTCATACCTTCTGTAACATAAAGAAAGCCACTGGAGGCAAGAACACTTTATTATTATTTAACACTAAGTCATTTAACACTCTTTACAATTTATCTATACTAGGAGCATCAGATGTTTTAAAACCTGAAGAAATATTAGGCAGCACTCCTCACTGCAGCAGCAGGGAGTCCTAGGGCAGACAACCCAGTGAACTGGTGTTAATTACCTCCCTTTTTTTACAACAACTGGTAAGTATCTTCTTATTTTTTTTTCATGTCTGATACTTTGTAAATACTTTTGAAATATTTTGATGTATGAAAAAGCCAATGTACGTACTGAATATTTTTTAAAAAACCCAAAATACTACCTTGTTTTGTACTTCTATGTATTTATGATATAAGCTTCCTACCTGAGACTATCTAATTTTATTTAGAAAATTAATTTCATTAAAAGCATTTATGATACAATATGGATCTGGTAAACCTGCACATTTTTACAGCGGATTGATTTCTGACTTGAGACAAATGTGCTGTATTAGTCCCACAAGATAGTTCAGATTTTAATTTTCATTATCACTTTAATGATAAACTGACGAGGATGCTATAGATGAAGTATAGTATTAGAAAAATATAAATTAATTAAAAATTCAAAAACTTAATTAATAAAAACTGCCCTTTTGTGGAACATGTTCATAGTGATACATTCAACACAGAATATCATCCTGTAGCTGGAATAACAGATGGAACCTTACGGTACACCATTTCATACAGCGAGACTTTCCTTATGAGCAGTTTTCCAATTAATGGTATTAATGTTGCCAGGGCAACTAGATATTGATTGAAAGAATTTTTGGCCAATGATTTTGGAGTCAATTTTCCTTGTGTAAACAGTTCTAGGGGGATAATCAGCAGGTTGATGTTCTTCTCCTTTTATGTATAACTATATAGCCATTTGTTAACATGAAACTCTTGTCAATGTACCATGCTTATGTATAGGATTGTATATATGACTCGCAAATAAATATATGATATTGAGTAATAATAGATATAGTGTATGACAAAAACTGAACAGCTGACCTGTCAAAGCATTAGATATATGTTGATGCATGCAGTCTTTATACACATATTAAATCCATATTTCCTGAAATTGAATCATTGACCATATTTTATTTCCATATGCCATTTACTGATGTGGTTAACTTTATCAGAACAAAACAAGACAAAAAATAACTGATTTAAAAAAAAAAAAATGTTCTCATGCCATGTCAAAAAATTCAGATTTTTTGTGACATTAGATTGTCTAAAATAAGTTTGTGGTTTGAAAATTAATTTTTGTGTAAAAAGGTCAATTTTGAAGCCATCTTGTCTTAAACGCTTGTTTAGTATTGGTACCAAAAATAACAGTCTGCATTTGTCCTTGTTTGTTAACAAGTTCTCTTTAAAGCTGTTTGTAAGAATAGCTGGTGTATGAATAATGAGAAATTGATCATGTACATCTTTTCTGGGACAAATTACTTAAACTACCAAGAGGATAAACAATTCATTTGTATAGACTGAATATTGATTATAAGCCTCTAGCAAAAGTGTGTACATGTCCATAATCTGAAAACACCATCTTGAGTATAAAACATTAATGAGAGATAGTAGTAAGAATCTACTCTACCTTTATCTTTGCTTCTTTCTTTAAGTATGTGTGTTGTGATTTGTAAAATCTGACAAAGAAAACTATTTTTTTGTGCTTTTCACTTGCCTTACATGAGTACTTGTGGAAATATATAATTCTCGGAAACTATCATCTTTATATTACAAAACTTCCAAAACAAGATATCAGCTTATATGTTAGTAACTGTTGCCTGTCTCTTTGGGGAGTACCCACATGGCTGAGCTGGTGACTCTTATACATTTTCATGTCTCATGAGTGAATTAAACCCCGATCTCCTAGGTGAAATGTGAATGTGTTACTATTTGGCTACTGGACCACAGAAATGACCCAGTCTTATGCAGGCAAGTGGGGGAGATAAGTATTGTGTAGGAAAGAAAGCACTGAGATAATGGTGGAAGAATAAAGAGAACAGAAAGAAAGAGAGATGCACAAGAGAAAGAAAGCAGCAAATGAGTTGAATGAAGGAGAAGAAAACTGATTCTTGATTGAAATCTGAAGTGTCCCCTGCATGATCACACGCAAACAACATAAAATGTCCCATGCCTGGAGTACCAGTAATGCACAGTGATGTGTACAGAAAGAGCCCTATAAAATATTCATGCTGAATATCTTCCACTGGGTCTGATACAACAGGGGATGTGGGTGTGAAGGGACACATTTTTTTACCGTGAAGGAACTGATCATTACCATGCAGTATTGATTGTGGAGTTATGTTTTTTACTTGACTTTCCATCTGCTTGCTCTCTGTGTATACTGTAATGTAGAGGAGGCTGAAGCTACTTTAGGTGAGCAGCATGTCGTGTTGTTCTGTTTATTGTGTCTGATGATGTGATGGAGGACCTGTTGTTGTTGCTGCAGAGTAGATTCATAATTATAACCTGCCATGTATGGTCTGATTACTTTATACCAATACATTCAAAGGGAAATAACTCCTTTTCACCAGGTGAGATTTTTTATCTAGTCTCTTTATATTTGTGAGTATAAACAGAATGAAAAAAAATGTATAAATGATATAACAAAATGATGTGAATGGATCTTTACTATATATCACAGAATCAAGCCTTAATCAATTATGTAAATATTCTGTGAAAACAAAAGAAAAGAAAAGCTATTAGTTGTCTGTCAATTGGAGAAAATGTTACCAGTTTAAATCTATGGTTTTAAAAAAAATTATGAAATAATGTATCATGTTGATTATTTACCAGGGAATATGGATACTGAACCATCAGATATTTTAGGCTGTTATATCAATTGGATTGTCAAGATATTTTGGTTTTGCAAATGCCAAGGATTGTTTTGTGTGTGTGCATTATATATATGGTACACTGCTGCCTCTGTGGCATAGGAAGGCTAATTATGTCATCTTAATGTCATTGATGTGCCAGCTACTTAATCATTATGGAAAATTCTCTCCAGATGAACTATCACATGTACATCAAAACATAGAATGGAGGACCCATGGTATATGATTTATGAGACTTTATCAGAATGCACCCTTCTATACTGTATTCTATTGGGATTCTATGACACATTTTTTATAATTTGGACAGATGCTACAATCAAGCTCAGTCAGTAGGCTTGTTTTTCTAAGAAATTTGATGTGGTTATGCCCTAAGTGCTCTGGACAGCCCAGGTAATAGCCTTCCTGCATAATGTTCAGTGATCAGTACATAGCCACCAGCTACTACATTTGTGATGTGACTGATTACTTACACACCCTCCTTCACCTTCTTGTACATGAAAGTAAAGAACATAACAAAAACATGACAAACATGACCGTATGTGTTTTTTTGTCTTGGTTGAATTTACCTGAATATAGAAATAAAGGAAAGGGTCACTTTCAGTTTTATAAGCCCAAAGTCCCTTGGTCCCCTCCTTCATTACCCTAATTATCAAGGGCGGATGGCTGGTTCAGTGGAAACACACTCGCCTTTCACCAAGGTGTCCAGTGTTTGATTCCTGGTATGGATATGAAAAGGTATGAGGTCACTTGCCTGACCATATGGGTCTTCTGTAGGTACTCTGGTTTCCTCCCAGAGTATAGACCTCTCATGCGCTTCCATTGGGGAAAGTTTTTTTCAAAGTTATTGTTGTAAGATAAACAAAGTTGGATTTATTATGAAAAATGCATCATACGCCCATCTTCTGTACAATAAAATGATTGTTACACACACATATATACTGTGGCCTTACCTATCACTTATACATGAATGTCCAGACAGGTGTGGCAATAGGTTTTTATGTTTATAGTGGCCTTACCTATCACTTATACGTGACTGTCCAGACAGGTGTGGCAATAGGTTTTTATGTTTATAGTGGCCATACCTATCACTTATACGTGACTGTCCAGACAGATGTGGCAATAGGTTTTTATGTTTATAGTGGCCTTACCTATCACTTATACGTGACTGTCCAGACAGATGTGGCAATAGGTTTTTATGTTTATAGTGGCCATACCTATCACTTATATGTGACTGTCCAGACAGGTGTGGCAATAGGTTTTTATGTTTATAGTGGCCTTACCTATCACTTATACGTGACTGTCCAGACAGGTGTGGCAATAGGTTTTTATGTTTATAGTGGCCATACCTATCACTTATACGTGACTGTCCAGACAGGTGTGGCAATAGGTTTTTATGTTCATAGTGGCCTTACCTATCACTTATATGTGACTGTCCAGACAGGTGTGGCAATAGGTTTTTATGTTTATAGTGGCCATACCTATCACTTATATGTGACTGTCCAGACAGGTGTGGCAATAGGTTTTTATGTTTATAGTGGCCATACCTATCACTTATACGTGACTGTCCAGACAGGTGTGGCAATAGGTTTTTATGTTTATAGTGGCCATACCTATCACTTATACGTGACTGTCCAGACAGGTGTGGCAATAGGTTTTTATGTTTATAGTGGCCATACCTATCACTTATATGTGACTGTCCAGACAGGTGTGGCAATAGGTTTTTATGTTTATAGTGGCCATACCTATCACTTATATGTGACTGTCCAGACAGGTGTGGCAATAGGTTTTTATGTTTATAGTGGCCATACCTATCACTTATATGTGACTGTCCAGACAGGTGTGGCAATAGGTTTTTATGTTTACATCTGATATTTGTGAACATGTTTATTTTAGTTACATGTAGTGATTAAGCCATAAAAAATGTAAATATGTGGTCTATAGTGTGTAGTGTAAATGAAACTACTCAGAAAAAATTCAAATATGTTTGCCAATGTCCAACATGGATGTTTAGAAATTTCAAAATATCTTGTTTTGAAAGGTTTCTGTGTGTTTATGAAAATGGTTCAGGGAATTCTGAAGACATTATATCTGTCCATAAAAACATTGTGATCATTATAAAACTACTGTTTGTAATCTTGGCTTGCCTGACTTCCCTAAAACGATGGTTTCTTGTACGATAAATAATGTTTTACTGCTGGTTTTATTGCCCAGATGTGAATACAACTGAAAGGATTGTCAAAATAAATTTATCTAATTAGGAATGTATACTGGGGTTTTTTCGCCCTTGTACCATTACTTACTAATTAGCCTCGTGTTCATTTGCCCCCTGATGACTATGTAAAA